ACACTCCTGCCTGTCCGCGTGACCACAGTTCACTCGCACTGCGGACTGATCACGATCGAAATCGAGTTACTGCATAACTTCTTAGGATCAAAGAGTTGTCTTTTCTCAAGCAATAACACGTACTTTCAAGTACAAGCCGTTCATCAGCTGTGGCTCAGGTACAGAGCGAATTTCATGGAGGCAAACAATTCTTCGAAAATCACGTTTGAAATGTTCAGCATCAGCTCGATCGCCTGGGCTCTTCGCTATCACTGTATCAGTATCAGCACTAAGAGAATAGTAAAAAATACTAAAAAATAGTCGGAAGGAGATGACAACGTCAACGCGGTCGGTGCAGCCAGGCAGTAGATCTACTGGCAAGTGGCAGTAGCCTTCGCATTTGGCCGGTGTTGGGCCTGAGTGAGGGTAGACTTCTACCGGGTGAGGTCTCCGACTCTCCGCCAGCCTCCGACTCCGGTCATGGTTGCCATGGCGCATGCGTGCACGAAGAAAGCGTTGATCTGACATAGCTGATAGGATTTTTTTCGGTTCCTTGGATTATTGGCTGATGATTGCAGTGATATGAATCGAGTAAGCTGTTGTAGTATGGTAGTGATAATGGTCAAGATTGAAGAAAGCCAGACCGAGTTGTAAGAGAACGGGTGTTGATCGCGATGAATGGCATGATGTTGATGACCGCAGACTGGAGGACTGAGCCAACTGAACTGAACTGCGTGTTGGATATTATTTGAACATCAGATTATTCTATTCAAACGTCAAAATGGAAATAATTCAGTGCGTGGCTAGATGGTCAACAGATGTAAATCGTTGCCTGCAATAGTGCACTTGTCTTGTTGTTCTATCGGATCTATACAGTTGGTTCGGTACATGTATCGTCCAAGAGTATGAGACAGAGGTCTCGAAATTTCGGACATGGGGCGAGTGACCACTGCTAGCGAGCTTTGTGACCAATGACGTGGCCAGGGTTTGCCAGCCATTATTACAGTGAGTGAAAGCAGAAAGGATAGTCCAGGTGCTGAAGCCTCTTGAGGAGCTTGGCAGCGATGAAGACTGAACACGTTCACAAGTTTCACCACGAGTGGATCGCGCCCATCAGAATCTCTGGTCTGTACTGTCACCCGGTCGAGCATTGCCTCTCAAACATATTGCCGGTAATGGCTGGTCCCGTCGTGCTCGGCTCTCACTGTATGCTGCTGCTGCTGTGGGCCTGCATCTCGCTGGCCTCCGTGTCCGTCGCACACTGTGGGGCGGCTTCCACCTGCCGTTCATGCCGTCCAACGACTACCACGACTACCATCATGCAAAGTTAGTAGTGTAGTGTGTGCATTCTGCATTGATTGATAGCTGTACTAATACCTTGCACATACATGGGAGGCGGTGAATGCAAAAATCTGACATGAGCCCCCCCCCCCCCCCTGATGTACCCCTAAAAGGAAATCCCCCCCCCCCCCCAATGTTCTGACTGCATGTATAAAGCCACGTGCTAACTTTATCAAAAATTGACCAGAGAAGAATACAGTCATCTCCAAAAATCCGGCCAATGCTATGCAAGCTACCGGTAGCTATACAGTGCATGCTGCCCATGCACTGTATAGCTAACGGTAGCTGTACTGTGCATGGACAGCATGCACTGCCACTGCTACCAGTAGCTGTACTGTGCATGGGTAGCATGCACTGCCACTGCTACCGGTAGCTGTACTGTGCATGGGCAGCATGCACTGCCACTGCTACCAGTAGCTGTACTGTGCATGGGTAGCATGCACTGCCACTGCTACCAGTAGCTGTACTGTGCATGGGCAGCATGCACTGCCACTGCTACCGGTAGCTGTACTGTGCATGGGTAGCATGCACTGCCACTGCTACCGGTAGCTGTACTGTGCATGGGCAGCATGCACTGCCACTGCTACCGGTAGCTGTACTGTGCATGGGTAGCATGCACTGCCACTGCTACCGGTAGCTGTACTGTGCATGGGTAGCATGCACTGCCACTGCTACCAGTAGCTGTACTGTGCATGGGCAGCATGCACTGCCACTGCTACCGGTAGCTGTACTGTGCATGGGTAGCATGCACTGCCACTGCTACCAGTAGCTGTACTGTGCATGGGTAGCATGCACTGCCACTGCTACCGGTAGCTGTACTGTGCATGGGCAGCATGCACTGCCACTGCTACCGGTAGCTGTACTGTGCATGGACAGCATGCACTGCCACTGCTACCAGTAGCTGTACTGTGCATGGGTAGCATGCACTGCCACTGATAGTGCAAGTAATAGCCTAGTACGGCATATGCTCTGCCGCCGGGACTGCACTCTGCAGTGCACAGTCTGTGCTGTGCTCCACTCGACTGCAGCAGGCAGAGTGCAGAGCCGTGGACTGTTTTAGTTCAGTGCTATGCTGGTAGACCCTCTAATGACTGTAAATGCATGAATGCGATTGTGACAGGCACCATGCCACTGTACAAGTATCCATGGCATTGGCTGGATTTCTTTGGTGACGACTGTATTACTCCACCAGTCCCTGCCCCCAACAACAGAAAAGAAATACTCCCTGTTTCCAGCAGTTCACTTGCATACCAGTGTCATGGTTGTTGTCTCTTCTGACCATGAATGTTCCTATAGGTATTGTCTGATTCTGATCCAATGCACTACAATGCCCTCAGTTTGGTGAGTCTGCCATTCGATTATGCCGAGACCTCTGGTCAGTTGAGCATGGCAGACCTCACCAGCACCATCTCACTGCTGACTCCATGCTAGCCCCATGTACTGCTGACTCCATGCTAGCCCCATGTACTGCTGACTCCATGCTAGCCCCATGTACTGCTGACTCCATGCTAGCCCCATGTACTGCTGACTCCATGCTAGCCCCATGTACTGCTGACTCCATGCTAGCCCCATGTACTGCTGACTCCATGCTAGCCCCATGTGCTGCTGACTCCATGCTAGTCCCATGTACTGCTGACTCCATGCTAGCCCCATGTACTGCTGACTCCATGCTAGTCCCATGTACTGCTGACTCCATGCTAGCCCCATGTACTGCTGACTCCATGCTAGCGCCATGTACTGCTGACTCCATGCTAGCCCCATGTACTGCTGACTCCATGCTAGCCCCATGTACTGCTGACTCCATGCTAGCCCCATGTACTGCTGACTCCATGCTAGCCCCATGTACTGCTGACTCCATGCTAGCCCCATGTGCCTGGCGGGGAGTTTGTGTACCTCGTATAATTATAAAAACTGACATTATTTTTTGTTTATGTTGGCTGCTGCTATGCAGGTTCAACCAGAACTTTGGCATACTGAGAATCTTTGATTTTCCGTATGGCACGGACAGTCGCTTCCGTAAATCAAAGTCGTACGAGCACCACTCCGTGCTACTTGGCACCACCCCTGCCAACGTTCTGATTCCGGACGAACCGAAAAAAGTCGGCAGTGCATGTGCATGTGTGCATCCTCACTGCTGTTGCTAGTCTCCTCACAGTCCACCCTTGACCGTCCCATTCTCCAGTTTCAATGCTTGTCTCCTCACAGTCCACCCTTGACCGTCCCATTCTCCAGTTTCAATGCTAGTCTCCTCACAGTGCACCCTTGACCGTCCCATTCTCCAGTTTCAATGCTAGTATCATCACTACTCTACATGTATATGTATTTTAGCATATCCACCATCAATGCTGGTCACATGACAAATTACACTTACCTACCCTCACTACTTCAAGTATGCCGCTGATATTATTATTTTTATTCACATAGCTATGGGTTTTTTGTGGCAAATTCACTAGTGCCCTAGCTAGGCCCAATCTGTGTTCTATCATAGGTGGTTAAATAACGACATCGCATTGTTCAATCTTCCAGTCCTATCAGTGACAACTCTAATAGCCAATGTGCATTGTTTCCGACGGCCTTCACCAAGAAGTTATGTTCTCTTTCTCAGCTAGGGTCGCTCACAATTTGTTTTCCATTTCAATTTCCGCCCTTTCCACCATCCTGGAAGCATGGAGAGGGACAGTACCGGTATTATGAATATTTTTAAGTTACAAGCAGGGCATTGGCTATGTCATCACTCATCAGTACTGCTTTCCGGCTGCACTGCTATGACATCACTACTACTTACCGGCTGTACTGCTATGACATCACTACTACTTTCCGGCTGTACTGCTATGACATCACTACTACTTTCCGGCTGTACTGCGATGACATCACTACTACTTTCCGGCTGTACTGCTATGACATCACTACTACTTGCTCCCAAGTCACTAACTGTTTTCTGTACCCGACTACTGGTACGTAATTGTGTCACTATTCAAGATGCTTTATATTTGAAGTACTACACTTACTTCATACAAAGTGTTGCAATATGAAGCCTGAAATCACATGCAGTCTAGGCGTGCCTGTCCGATACCGGCATGCCGACACTGCAACTTGCTGTTGCCACCCCCCCCCCCCCCCCCCGCCCGCCCGCTTTGAACACTGTGTGCCACTGCGCTCGTGCCAAATCTAAACTATCTGCTCATCCAAATCCAGAGGGCTCAGACCCCCGCCCCCGCAGACGTTACATACTCTTGTGCCTGCCCATGAGCACGACCAGTAGTGATCTCGGGGTGCAGAATTGCCACAGAATCAAAGTCCGTGGCGTTTGCCACCTCCATTTATGTACACTTGAAGGTCCTGTCGTGGGCGTTGAAATCCGTTGAGAAGTCAAGCAGCTACATGGCGCTAGCCTTGCAGCCGTGAGCACTGCTGGTCCATTTTTATAGTTTGTGCATAAAATACAGTGTGTGTACACGCTAACAACAGAAAGAATGCCAGTCCCGGTAACCCCCCCCCCCCCCCCCCCCTGCACTTCACACACACACACATCCACGTGCACACACACACACTCAGACACGCCCATCGCGTAAAAGCAATGATAGCGAACAACTATATCAGACATTATTATTATTATTATTATTATTATTTTTGTTTTACATCGGAAGCTCAACAGTGCAGCTGCACAAATATGAAGAGGCCGATGGGACCAAAAAATATATAATAATTATTATATAAAAAAATAAATAAATAAACAATGTATAATATACATCAGTGTAAATGTTCATACATCAGTGTAAATGTTCAAATGTTTAGCAAAAAAAAAAAAGGGGGATGAGTGGTGAACATAAAGAGAAAAGAAGAAAAACGTATGCTGAATGAACCTGGGCAATACATGTATATACATAGCAACTTGTGGTGGGATTACACCGTTCAACAGCTTGCAAGGCGGATGAATTGACCGCCACTAATTTTAGCCTGGTATCCACCACACAGCTGATTGAAGTGGCTTTTTCTGGCTGGTGAATCCCTATTTTTTTATTTTTTTGACACACACACACACACCACAGCACATACTCCGGCATACACTGGCTGTTGGTAACCACCCAGGAGGATGAAAGAAGAGCTTGGAGAATGAGAAAGAGAAGAAAGACGTGTGCGACCATAATCGTCGGGAATTGAACCCCCAACCTCTCGATTGGAAATAGAATACACAAACCACTGCACCATATGGGACACACACACACACACACACACACACACATACATACAGACACACATACATACACAAACACACACACAATCACGTGTGCACGCGTGCATGTGCGTACACACAAACACATTGGACCTTGGACACATTGCCATGTTCAGGCAGGATATGTCCTGTGGTCTACTGAAAAGCCGGCCACAATTGGAAACGTGGAAGGGCTGAAGTCTGTGTGCTCGAGTCGAGCCTTGGCTACATTCATGATGATTTTTTTTGACTTGGCATGATAGCACACAACGGGTATTTCTTGCTTGCCACATGAATGCTAGCATTGCTGCTAGATTTCAATACTAGAATAAAATATGATGTGTATCTCAAGGGTAATAGCAAGAACTTGTATGTACAGGGTATGGCTGACACTGCTATGGCAATATACATTGCAGTATAAACATTTGTAGAGTAGAGTTTTGCAGGTTTAACTGACATACCGGTAACTATTCTGTACAGTGACTAGTGTAAAAACAGTAGGTGAGAGTAGACATGAACACATTCAGTAAAACTGATACCACAGTAGACTGGACTAGACAGTACATGTAGTTCAGTTGATCATTATATCTACATAGTAACACAACACTGTGTGTGTCATAGACAATCTGTATACATCATGTCTATACAAGTGATGTCACAGTGTTGTGATCAATGACAGGTAGTGTGCTGTTGGAGTATCTCTTACTGCAGTAGCTGTTTGAAATGATCCCTGTCCAGTGCTGGTCATCTTCACCAATCTCAACTGCTAAACACTATCCAGTAGAAATTTTCAGAAGCTCAGCTAGCCCTGTAGAATGTACAACAGAGAGGGTGCATACACACGTACACATGCATGCATGCAGACATGCACACACGCACGCGCACACACGCACACACGCATGCACGCACACACAAACAAACACACACACATCGACAACTCTCAAATAATGTCGAGTCCTTTCAGAGAGGCAATACTATTAATAGGACATTTCAGTTCTTACAACAAACTGAATGGTAGGTGGCAATGAGTACAAGCAATGTGGCTCTTCAGACTTAACGTCCCACAACAAACACACGCACACCTGACAGAACGCATGCACTAACACATGCCTAAAATGGTTATGTCAGTCTCCCCGTGAGAGGAGAGAGAAATTCAAAAGGAATCGTGGAAATATGACTCAATTGGCCTCTTGGCCTTGTTGGTCGTTCGTTCGCCCCCACTGGGCAGTATGCTTTATCCCTTGGCAGGTAGGTTCTCAGCCTCGGTGGCTGTTTGCTGGCTCAATAGACAGTACGACTCAGCCCTCGGTAGGTGGTATATGATCATCAGTGACCCACGGTGGGCAGTATGCTCTAGCCCTCGGTGGACAGTATGCTCAAGCCCTCGTTGGGCACTACGCTTTACCCCTTGCCGGAAGTTTGCTTTAACCCTGGGCTGGGGGGGGGGGGGGCAGGTTATTGGCCTCAACGGCCGTTCGTGCACCCTTGTAGGGGCTGTGTGCTTATTCGTGCGCCCTTGGTTGGGCTGTAGGCTTCAGCCTTCGGTAGGCAAGTCTCTGGCCTGGGCGGCCATTCGTGCACCCTCGGTTGGGCTGTTTGCGTTAGCCTTCGGTAGGCAGGTTGCTGGTCTCGGCAGCCATTCGTGCGCCCTCGGTTGGGTTGTATGCTTTTAAAACACTCGATGGGTAAGTTGTTAGCCTCGGCAGCCATTCATGCACCCTCGGCAAGCAGGTTTCTGGCCGCGTCGGCCAATTGGCGGGCAGTATGCTAGCGACCCACGGTGGGCAGGATCATTTAGCCCTCAGTGGGCTGGCTGTTGGCCTCGGTGGCCGCTCATGTCATCGGCCCACGGTCGGCCATTTGTGCGCCTGCCCCAGTGGGCAGTGTGAGTTGCTGAGGATCAGATGTGATGATTTGGCACAGCTATTGTCTCTTGCTTCTTTGGAACCGGTCAATCATGACATATCATAGCTGCGGCTAATGGGGTTCCTCGGTATTCGTGCCAGTAGTTGTGAGACGTATCCCCTCACCCCCAATGCCAGGCGCTGCATCTGCCGCTAGGGTTTCCTGGGTGTTAGCGCCCGTCGTGAGTTCCCTTTTTTCTAAAAGAAGTCAGGCAACCCCCTACCCAATGTGTCAATGGCTTGTGAATGTGTGTATGTGTGCATGAGTACGTCGTACGTGCAGGCGGGTGCATGGGAGCGTTGGCAATTATGTTTGAGAAAAAGAAAAAGAGAGAGCGAGAGAGAGAGAGAGAGATAGAGAGAGACAGAGATAGAGAGAGACAGAGAGAGAGACAGAGAAACAGAGACAGGCAGACAGAGAGTGAGAAAGAGAGAGAGACAGGGACAGGGACAGAGACAAACACAGAAAGAGAGAGAGACAGGGACAGGGACAAAGACAAACACAGAAAGATAAAGAGACAGAGACAGAGACTGTCACGTGGAACATACCATTTATTTAACATTGCCAAAATCAAAGACCTAGTACAAGTACCACCCTGTAAGTTCACCCCTGTCACAGACACAGCAGTGGTTCTCTTGTACTGGTGGTAAATTACTGACATACGAGTACAGCACACAGCAGTGGTTCTGTTGCACTGTTAAATTACTGACATACGAGTACAGCACACAGCAGTGGTTCTGTTGTACTGTTAAATTACTGACATACGAGTACAGCACACAGCAGTGGTTCTGTTGTACTGTTAAATTACTGACATACGAGTACAGCACACAGCAGTGGTTCTGTTGTACTGTTAAATTACTCACATATGAGTACAGCACACAGCAGTGGTTCTGTTGTACTGTTAAATTACTGACATACGAGTACAGCACACAGCAGTGGTTCTGTTGTACTGTTAAATTACTGACATACGAGTACAGTACACAGCAGTGGTTCTGTTGTACTGTTAAATTACTGACATACGAGTACAGTACACAGCAGTGGTTCTGTTGTACTGTTAAATTACTGACATACGAGTACAGCACACAGCAGTGGTTCTGTTGTACTGGTAAATTACTGACATACGAGTACAGCACACAGCACACGGCACATGTGCACACACTCCTGTATGATGCCATCACTCTAACTTACTGTAGTATGCGACGTCTGAGTGCTGCCAGCATAGCACAGTGTTGGTTGTGTTCACTTAGGTGTTCATCAGTTTGACGATGTTTACCACACAGGTAAGCCATGTCACAACGAGGACATGCCTTGATGTTGTCCAGGTCATAGCAGACAAAACATGCTGCTACACGTGGACACCATTCCAGTAGTGCAATGTGGTGATCAATGCTCACTTGGCCTCTCTTGGATTGACGATGCAGGGCAGCAATGAGACAGTAGTATAGTAGCGTATCGTCTCCAGCATGTGGTGGTAAGTACACAATTCCAGACACTGAGAGACCAGTTGCACAATTGCTCGGCAGGTAAGCACTGAGATCATTAACCAATGACTTCAACGCTGGGAAGAGTTTGGACATTTCTACAAGTGCAAAGATCGTATTCTAGAGCAAAGCACACAACAAAGAAAAGTGTAGAAAAGAAAGTAACTGAAGCCAGTACACTCAAAACAGAGAACATCATGCACAATTATAACAAATCAGGCTGATATAGCGGAAACCAACACATTCCATTTCCATAGTTTACAGTGTTCAAAATTATCACATTCCCCTCTGTGTTCTTCAAGAAATCTACCTTAGAGAGACACACACTATACAGTAGATAATTACTGAGTATACTGGTTTGCAATACAATGTTCCATTCAGAGTGGAATGTGGATGAAAAACAGTTATGGTAACCTGAATTGTGAACACTGCACTGCCAGCTTACCTCAATGCTCAGCAGTGTTCTAGCTGTCTGTATACAAGACTGCATCACTTCCACATCTGGTACCTTGTTCTGGCTACTGTTGTTAATCAGTGCTGTTGTGTGATCTGCTGGATTTGAGCCATGACACCATCTCCTGACATAGTCCATCACAATGTTGTAGGGATGCTGTGCTGGTAGAGTGAGACCCGTTGGAGTTGTGTATGCCCTTCCATTTACTACCAAGGATATGTACTCGGTGTTGTACATATCACCCGAGTACAGGTACAGTAGTGTGGCTACTGTGTCATTATCCATGGAGTGCAGGTATCGTTGTAACCGAAGAGTAGACACAGTAGTGTGGTCGTCATGGGTATTGACCGTGCGGCTGATAGCAGTTGGTACATGTTTCCACTTGCACAGTGGTATACCCAGTGTTGTAATCAATGATGGTGAAATAATCCACTCACTGCTACAGGAACTTGACATGACCTTGCCCAGGATCACAGCAATGCATTGTAGCAGAAAACCGAACATTGCAGTACATGAAAGGACTGCACCATCCTGTGATAGGAAGCGTGATGACATCACTCTCTTAGCAAGGTCTTCTACCACCTGTACATTGGGAATATCCTTGCTTAGCAGAGTGGAACAATACAGTTGAATGAGTTTCAGGGCACATTCAGTCACACCTGTTGCAAGACCCATTCTCAGTGTTGTTGTAACACGCTGGTACACCACCTGAAGACGGGATAGTGTTTCCTGGCTGAGCTCAACCTGTCCTTCCCTGCAGTCGATGTCCAGAGACATGGATAGCCTGCATGACTCCAGAGAAAGTTGCATCAAAGGTAGCTGCAGCGGTGACCCCACTCCTGTCGGTTCTTGTTCAGATTTCTCCAGGAGCATTTGGGTTCTGGAATCCGAACTCTCAAAAGTGACATCAGAATCTGCAATGCTTTGACGGCAAATACAACACAGGACCGAGGTGCAAATGCTGTCAGCTTGTACAGATAGCGGTGCTTTGTCCAATCTTTGTATCCTGCCCACAAACTCTCCAACAAACATTGCTCTCCCAAACAAGGCAAATAGGATACCCGTTGACTTTGTTAATCCAGAGAAAGGAAGCAAGTCATAGCCAGACAAAACATCAACAACAGACAACGCCATCTGTATATTCACCAGTTCCTGAAGCAGTTGGTAACTCCAATACAATGCTTTGTCTGCACCACAACCTCTACAGTCATCAACTTCCTTCACAAAGCCAAGGAAATGCTTGCACATTCGCCGTTGGTACATGTGTTGCTTGTCTTCTGGGCATTGGTAACGACCAAACTCGGCGATAAATGGTTGTAACGAGTAGCGATCCAAATACGAATTGTAATCCAGGAAACAAATCTTGATCAACGGATCTAAACGTAGAAGATGAACCACATCAACATCATCACCTACAAAATCCACCATCACGCAAGCGCACTTAGATGAGAACGAGGAGTGCAGTTGAGATAGAGCATGGAATGATTCTTTGTCATCCTGGCGTAGTGTGTTGTATGCTACTTTCAACAGCTGCAGAATTCGATGATTCGGTTTCAGACCATCATCGTTGAACACATCAAGACCAATCTTCTTGAACAACGATAGCAGCCTGGTGGGAGTTAATCGACCACCTTGCAGAAGACCAGCTGTAATGCGTACAGCAAGTGGAACATTTCCACAATGATCCACTAACCTCTGTGCATCTTCAATGCTCACACTACCTTCAACACATAGACCATGGAGAAGATCAACAGCACAAACCTTTGTCAGACCATCAAGACGGTGTTGTTGTAGTTTAAACTGGGCAGCGTGTAGGTCAAAGTAAACACGACTTGTCAGTAGGACATGGACATGGAGTTGTAGTTGAAGTATTTGCTCTACAACATCTTGTAGTTGGAGATCTTTATCAGCACCAGCCTGGATAGCATCCTCGGCATTGTCTAGGATACATAACATGTGATGTTTGCCACCATCATCATCCCTGCCATCAGTTGATTTCGTTGTCTTGCCAGTAGTTTCAGATGAAGCTGGGTTTGTTTCGAGTCGGTTTTGAATCATTGCCTGGACAGCGTTAACACCAGCTACACCGCGTAAGTCAAAGAACTCCACACGACAACCAGCATTGCGACATACATGTCCCACAGCAATGGCTACGGACGTCTTACCAAAACCAGCTGGTGCCACAAGACTCTGCACTTGTGTAGGTGATGACTTGGACTTTGTTGTGAGAATGTTGTGACTGATCTCTGTAACAATGTCATTCCTGCCAGTGAAATGTCGGTCTTTGTTCGGTAGAGATGACTGGCTTGAAGTTGTTGATCTTGTTGAATCCTGTGTTGTAGTCAATGTTGTATTGGATGTTGCACCCGTTTTAGTTACATTGGCGGTTGTTTCAGCTGATGCTGGTTGTTTGAAGATTGGCTCACATCTGTTGGACGTCCGTTGCTGGTCTGCCTGACAAGCTCCCACTGTGTGCTGCAATGGCTGCGTTTTCTGTTTGCCAACTGTTGTCATGGTGATACCTAGCAAGCAAACAGAAAGTATGAATAAACCTATTGTAAGTTTTAAATCTTTTTCAAAAGGGATGTAAGACCTACTTCCTTTGTTAAGCGAAACTTTGTTGCATTTTTTTACAGTTCCGTCAAAAGCATTCAATGGCTACAACACAGTTTGCAGAGGGGAGAACAGAGCAGCATACGAGAAATAGTAGTTTATAGATGTCACACAGTTTGTTTCGAAGTGGTCCAGCTTCTCCCTTCATCTGAATCCGATCACAACTCATTCCCTGCATTGAGTGTGCTTTCTCGCTGACTCCCGTCTCCAGTGCTGACACACTGACAGCTCATGCTCTGTAAACATTAAAATATGCCGAGAAAATATTTGATCGTACTTCTTTGCTTGAACTGTGAACTTGACGATTTGCACGGTGCCACTGTCGGCAGTTTTTCTCTCCGCCGCTCTCCAGAATGCCATGGAAGATGCCATAGCGGCACAACCAAAACTTAATGTTTTTCATCTTTGCAGTGGGGTTCTTCTGCCAGCACGGTTCCAAAGCCTGCAGAACTTCTGAGCTCCTTTTCTGGTTTCATTCACCATCGGTGACACGTCGGTCTGCAGGCTGTGGAAGAACGCCAAGTCGTCCGCGTTGAGATCGGGGTTTTGTCCAGCCTGAACGAAAACCTGAATGTCAAATCCTTTCGCTTTCCCCTGAAAACCTGAATGTCAAATCCTTTCGCTTTCCCCTGTCCTGCAAACACACCCTTATTGATTTTTGTTGTGTGCGGACACAAACCATCGTGCTGGTACAGCAGTGGCTGGCCGGCTCCTGGTCACTTCTTCGAGCCACGCGGCTTTTCAAACTTCCATTTCCCAGCCCCAACCTTTCCACATAGTTGGACGCATACAGTTAGACCTCGCATAACCGCACACATCCGTTTCCCACAAAAATCTCCGATAGGCGAGGGAACCGGATAATCGAACACACAAACTGTATGTATGCATGGCATATGCTGTATATCGGTAACTAACAATAATTATTTTCTTCCGGATGGCGAGGGATCTGGATAAAAGAGGACCGGATAAGCTAGGTTTGACTGTACCAGCATCACTGGTTGTGTATGCTGCATCCTCGTGAAACCACCACATTTTCTGTCGCATGCTTGTCATGCATCATGTAGAACCACTTCTCGCCTCCATGTGTCTCGTTTTTCAGGTCGGAGAATTTCATGGTCTGCTCATTCAATTGGGAGAGGACAAATTTCATGCGCTTTATTTTATGCTCGGCTGTCAAATCCGGCTTGATGTATAGTCGCCGTCTCCGCATCTGAAGCGCCTTGCACCTAGTTCAAACAGTCACAGGTGAGACATTTACTCCTTCTCTTACCAGCTTGATGGCTAGTCGGTTCAACGACAATCGAGCCCAGTTCTGATTGTTTAGAATAACCAGCTTTTGTGCGATTTCAGTGGTGAACCTTTGACCGGCTCCTCGGCCACACTGGGTGCGTTCGATTACAGCCATTAATTGATTCATGAATGGAATCTTGTCGTTGGATTTCATGTCATGTAGCCCTGGAATCAGTTTGGAATCCATTTACCCTAACATGGGGTGATGTGAATAGCCAGGGACGTTTCATGAATGGATTCAACATCGTTTCGCGGTCATAATCGAACGCACTCACTCCTTCCGCTTGCGTGACCAGTTGAGTCCTGACACTGGAGCGGAACTGGATACTTGCTCATGGTAGATCTACTTTGAAGTACAACTTGAGTTGTTTGTGCACAAATTTTACCTTGAGATTTAGAGAACTTGGAAAGTCTGAGAAGAGCTACGCGAACAGCTTCTTGATCTTTCTTTATCCACTGACGATGTTGTTCAGAACAACGAAACGTCTGGAGAAGTATCGTAAAAATTTCTATCGTTATTAAATGTTATCAAATATACCACTCTTTGGTCTAGAAAGAATACTTTTTGATATTACAATGAGAGTGAATAATCAACGGCTTGTCCACCAACTCTTTTTCTTGATCTTTGTCAGCGGTCTACCTGCCGTGAATTCTGCGGCATGAAGAGTGACGGCCTTTTGATTTGGGATCTTCATGTCTTTCCGTCTTGTGCACACAATAACTGGTATTGTTGGTGGTGATACCGGTATAATTTTCAGTATTGTTCTTGACAGGCATTTTTGCAATCTCCCTGGGCCAAGGAGCTCACAGGAATGGTTTTTGTAAGGCTCGGTTTCTCATTTCTCACTTCGGTGTTGTGCGCTTGTGGGTGTATTCTGGTGACATCCTGTCAGGACAGGGCTATACTAATTTCTCCAAAGGACTCCATGCGTATCGGAGGTTCTAAGCCTATCAGAGAAATGGATGTCACCATGGCTACCCTATCTGGGGGGGGGGGGGAGATAGATCACCGATATGTGTGTCTATTGCCTATAGAAAGATCATAAACAGAACTCTAAAACGCTATCGGAGTTCAAAACCATATGTAGAAGTTTTGCTTATCAACGGAGAAAGTAAGTTAAAAAATCATAGTAATGGTAGTGTTCTCAGACTGTTCTGTGCACAGAGCAATGACAGAGGGACAAGTTCACGTTAGAAAATAACGCCCCACTTCCAGCTATTACAAACAAGAATCCTGGGCTTATCTCCTACCAGTGGTTTTGCTAGAACTCTACGGCTAGTAACAAAGTCATGTTCTACTGATAGAGGATTTACCACAATGGTGTTGATGACCATCTTGACTTAGTGAGATCTTTTGGAAGTCATTGAATGATGGCTTGTAGCCTTGGGCTTAGTATTTCCATGGAAATGTTCAAATTTAACTCTGCCGCCAAAGTACCTTGCAATCTTCTCTCTCCAAGAGCTACTGTACTAAGTCTGAGTTGAACTTTTTGTCTGGAAAGTGGTATTCTCTGGAATGCTGCACTATAGCTGCTGCCGGCGTAGCAATGAGAACAACTGACTCCGACTAAAGCAATGTTTGCGATTTCGAAGTAAACTGCAGAACTTGAGAAAAACAAAACTCATCAGCAGCTACGATGCAAAGCAATAATAGAAACTTCACTCGAAAAATCATATTCGAAAGTTTCGCATGAAACGCTATTTTTTGTGAACCGGGAAGGTTTCAGAAACGACCTGCGAAAGTTTGAAACATAAATTCCAAGGCAATTCAAAGGCAATGCCGCTAGGGGTTACCGGGTGTTAGCGGCCGTCGTGAGTTCCCTTCAGGAACGGACACGATAAATTACTTTTTACTTTACCTAAACCAAAGTTAAAGCTATGATTGAAGTTTGGAAAATGAACAACTGAGCAGTCGCAGAAAGTAATTCAAGTATGAATGGGGACGGTGTGGTTTCCGTCCAGCACTGCACTATTTGGTGCATAGATGCGCGTGCGAACTGAAGTGCATGGCGGTACAGGATGTGCACATGCATGCCGTTTACGTCCAACATCGGGAAATCGCTGTGGGCTGGCTTCTGTGATAATTTTCCTTCTACTGCGATACAGTGCGAGGCTAAATGTTCTAGAATCCTCTTGTTTTAGACTAATTCGAGGCTGCTGAACACTAAAATTGGGTGTACCTCCCGGGGCCGAGTATGAATCTGGTTGAGATCAGTACTTCGCTATGCCTCTGTGCAAACAACGGCTCCACCTTTTTTGTTCAAGCATGGCATGTGTGGCATCAATGGAAAGGCGATGACCTCAGCTACCTAAAATAGCATCGGCAAGGGAGTACTGGCCACGGGATCAGATATAAGCGGGGTCAAAGTCAGGCCAAAGAGCTTTCACGCGGGCCCCATTGTAAATGTACACGCAAGTTGTGACTGCAGTTTTCACCTGACCCAGGCTGGAACTGAACTCCCTAGCAATAATCTAGTGACCCATGACAGTGCTTCACGCCAGTGGCACCTGCATTTCTTGTAGATCTACAGGATCATCATGTAGATCTGGTTATAACCTCAGGACTGTCCATCTAACTGAACCCACCCAGGGTCAGCTCTCAATACGATTGATGAGAATGCATGAACTAATTGATCTCTGTAAGCACATCTCACTGCTAACAAGTAAGTACAGTGTTGCTCAATGAAATCCAGTCGTGTCACTCAAGTTTGTACCTTGCACCATTTTGCAGCCCAATGCTTGCAGGTCTAGGGCTGCGCAACGCCGAGCGCGTACTTGAGTGATGCTGTGACTGGATTTCATTGAGCAGAACTGTACATGTCATGTAGTTACACGAATGTTCAACGAGCCCCCCCCCCCAATCTTCCTACGCCACGTAATCAATGTGAAAACTTACCGGAGGACGAGCCAAGTGTGGACTCATCATCTGCCGACATTGATATTGGCTTCGTCGGATGGTCAGTTTTTCCACTGGCAGTTGGATCGCGTCGCTTTGCCATGGTACTGGCGACATGTTCCGCTACATGAGGCTGGCTGTGCTGCATGAGCCTCAGGAACGTGTCGACCTGTTCCTCTGTTTTCTTCAGCATCAGCCTCACCACGTACTTTGTCAGTTCAGACTTCACGTTTTCCTTGCTAGAGGCAGTATCATATTCATCAACGTCCAGCACATCATTCTCCAGCAAGAGTTCCAAGATCACGGATGCATCTAGATTGGAAAGTAAGAAGGCTATGTTATAGCGCACCCTGTCTGCCATTGTTCACACTCCTGCCTGTCCGCGTGACCACAGTTCACTCGCACTGCGGACTGATCACGATCGAAATCGAGTTACTGCATAACTTCTTAGGATCAAAGAGTTGTCTTTCTCAAGCAATAACACGTACTTTCAAGTACAAGCCGTTCATCAGCTGTGGCTCAGGTACAGAGCGAATTTCATGGAGGCAAACAATTCTTCGAAAATCACGCTTGAAATGTTCAGCATCAGCTCGATCGCCTAGGCTCTTGGCTACCACAGTATCAGTAACAGCACTAAGAGAATAGTAAAAAATACTAAAAAATAGTCGGAAGGAGATGACAACGTCAACGCGTTCGTTGCAGCCATGCCGCCAGTACTGGCAAGTGGCAGTAGCCTTCGCATTTGGCCGGCGTTGGGCCTGAGTGAGGCCAGGGTAGACTTCTACCGGGTGAGGTCTCCGACTCTCCGCCAGCCTCCGACTCCGGTCATGGTTGCCATGGCGCATGCGTGCACGAAGAAAGCGTTGATCTGACATCATGGACATAGCTGAAAGGATTTTTTTCGGTTCCTTGGATTATTATTGGCTGATGATTGCAGAGTACGAGCGCAATAAGTTTCCATTATGGAGTGATATGAATCGAGTAAACTGTTGTAGTATGGCAGTGATAATGGTCAAGATTGAAGAAAGCCAGACCGAGTTGTAAGAGAATGCGTGTTGATCGCGATGAATGGCATGATGTTGATGACCGCAGATGGGAGGACTGAGCCAACTGAACTGAACTGCGTGTTGGATATTATTTGAACATCTATTCAAACGTCAAAATGGAAATAATTCAGTGCGTGGCTAGATGGTCAACAGATGTAAATCGTTGCCTGCAATAGTGCACGTGTCTAGTTGTTCTATCGGATCTATACAGTTGGTTCGGTACATGTATCGTCCAAGAGTATGAGACAGAGGACTCGAAATTTCGGACACGGGGCGAGTGACCACTGCTAGCGAGCTTTGTGACCAATGACGTGGCCAGGGTTGCCAGCCATTATTACAGTGAGTGAAAGCAGAAAGGATAGTCCAGGTGCTGAAGCCTCTTGAGGAGCTTGGCAGCGATGAAAAAACACGTTCACAAGTTTCACCACGAGTGGATCGCGTCCATCAGAATCTCTGGTCTGTACTGTCACCCGGTCGAGCATTGCCTCTCAAACATATTGCCGGTAATGGCTGGTCCCGTCCTGCTCGGCTCTCACTGTATGCTGCTGCTGTTGTGGGCCTGCATCTCGCTGGCCTCCGTGTCCGTCGCACACTGCGGGCCGGCTTCCACCTGCCGTCCAACGAGTACCACGACTACCATCATGAAAAGTTAGTAGTGTAGTGTGTGCATTCTGCATTGATTGGTAGCTGTACCAATACCTTGCACATACATGGTAGGTGGTGAACGCAAAAATCTGACTTGAGCCCCCCCCCCCCTCCCCCCAATGTTCTGACTGCATGTATAAAGCCACTTGCTAACTTTTCGAAATTTGCACAGAGAAGAATACAGTCGTGGCCAAACAATCCGGCCAATGCTATGCTAGCTACCGGTAGCTATACAGTGCATGGGCAGCATGCACTGCCACTGCTACAGTCCATTCAGAAAAAGATGAACTTCTAAGATGAACTTCTAGCTTTTGGCCATAAATGGGTCAAACTTTGAGTTTTTTTAGAATTTTTTTCTGCAATCCCTATGGAATCCTCTTCCAATTATGTTTCTGAAGTCTTTTTGTCCAAAAAGCAAGCCATAACAAGAATAGGATATCGGCCAGGTTTTGCCCCAGAAGCATTGAATTGGAAAAAACCATCAAAATCCAGGCCGTTTGACCCTGCCTGCCACAGTGCATTGTGGGGTTCCAACCCCAGTTCAGGTACCCTTTTTGGACTCTTTTTCAAAGTTCAAATTTCGCAGCACTGCACTGTGTACAATGAAATCACGAAAAATCGCCAAATACGGGAGCTCGCCAGAGCCAGAGCCCATCTTTTTCTGAATGGACTGTAGTGCAAGTAATAGCCTAGTGAATGTCTCATGCTCTGCCGCCGGGACTGCACTCTGCAGTGCACAGTCTGTGCTGTGCTCCACTCGACTGCAGCAGGCAGAGTGCAGAGCCGAGGACTGTTTTAGTTCAGTGCTATGCTGGTAGACCCTCTAATGACTGTAAATGCATGAATGCGATTGTGACAGGCACCATGTCACTGTACATGTATCCATGGCATTGGCTGGATTTCTTTGGTGACGACTGTATTACTCCACCAGTCCCTGCCCCCAACAACAGAAAAAGAAATACTCCCTGTTTCCAGCAGTTCACTTGCATACCAGTGTCATGGTTGTTGTCTCTTCTGACCATGAATGTTCCTATAGGTATTGTCTGATTCTGATCCAATGTACTGCAATGCCCTCAGTTTGGTGTGACTGCCATTCGATGATGCCGAGACCTCTGGTCAGTTGAGCATGGCAGGCTCCACCAGCACCGTCTCACTGCTGACTCCATGCTAGCCCCATGTGCCTGCCGGCGAGTTTGTGTACCTCGTATAATTATAAAAACTGACATTATTTTTGTTTATGTTGGCTGCTGCTTTGCAGGTTCAACCAGAACTTTGGCATACCGGGAATCTTTGATTTGCTGCATGGCACGGACAGTCACTTCCGTAAATAAAAGTCGTACGAGCGCCATTCCATGCTACTTGCCACCACCCCAGCCAACGTTCTGATTCCAGACGAACCGAAGAAATGCCAGTAAAAAGGTTAAGTCTGCAGTGCATGTGCATGTGTGCATCCTCACTGCTGTTGCTAGTCTCCTCCCAGTCCACCCTTGACCGTCCCATCCTCCAGTTTCAATGCTAGTCTCCTCACAGACCACCCTTGACCGTCCCATTCTCCAGTTTTAATGCTAGTCTCCTCACAGTCCACCCTTGACCGTCCCATCCTCCAGTTTCAATGCTAGTCTCCTCACAGACCACCCTTGACCGTCCCATTCTCCAGTTTCAATGCTAGTCTCCTCACAGTCCACCCTTGACCGTCCCATTCTCCAGTTTCAATGCTAGTCTCCTCACAGTCCACCCTTGACCGTCCCATTCTCCAGTTTCAATGCTAGTCTCCTCACAGTCCACCCTTGACCGTCTCATTCTCCAGTTTCAATGCTAGTATCATCACTACTCTACATGTATATGTATTTTAGCATATCCACCATCAATACTGGTCACATGACAAATTGCACTTACCTACCCTCACTACTTCAAGTATGCCGCTGATATTATTATTTTTATTCACATAGCTATGGGTTTATTTGTGGCAAATTCAATAGTGCCCTAGCTCGGCCAAATCTGTGTTCTATAATGGGTGGTTATCGACATCACACTGTTCAATCCACCAGACTTATCAGTGTCGACTCTAATAGCTAATGTGCATTTTTCCGAGCCATCACCAAGAAGTTCTTTTTCTTTCTCAGCTAGGCCCGTTCACAGTTTGTTTCTATTTCAATTTCCGCCCTTTCCACCATCCTGGAAGCATGGAGAGGGACAGTACCGGTATTATGGATATTTTTAAGTTACAAGCCGGGCATTGGCTATGTCATCACTCATCAGTACTACTTTCCGGCTGTACTGCTATGACATCACTACTACTTACCGGCTGTACTGCTATGACATCACTACTACTTTCCGGCTGTACTGCTATGACATCACTACTACTTTCCAGCTGTCCTGCTATGACATCACTACTACTTGCTCCCAAGTCACTCTGTTTTCTGTACCCGACTACCGGTACTTCATTGTGTCACTATTCAAGGTACTTTATACTTGAAGTACTACGCTTACTTCATACAAAGTGTTGAAATTTGAAGCCTGAAATCACATGCAGTCTAAGCAAGCCTGTACGATTCCGGCATGCGGACACTGCAACTTGCTGTTGGCACCACCCCCCCCCCCCCCCCCCTTGAACACTGTGTGCCACTGCGCTCGTGGCAAATCCAAACTACACTAGTATCTGCTCATCCAAATCCAGAGGGCTCAGATACCCCCCCCCCCCCCCAAACGCACGTTACCATACTCTTGTGACTGCCAATGAGCACGGCCAGTGATCTCTAGGGGTATTTCCACAGAATCAGGGTCCGTGACTTTTGCCACCTCCATTTATCTACACTTCAATGTACTTCTGTCGTGGACTTTGAAATCCGTTGAGAAGTCAAGCGGCCACTGGGCACTGACCTTGCAGTCGTGAGCACAGCTGGTCCATTTTTACAGTGTGCACATAAACTATAGTGTGTGTACGTGCAAACAGAAGTAAGGGTGCTGGTCCCGGTCATCCTATCTGATTTCAATGTTCACGACAGTACATTGTAGATCTTAACCATGACGAATTTGATCATTACAACACTGCTGCATATTACCAAGAGTACATAATGCAAATACTGGCAGGGGAAGCATCCCGTTCATGAGCTTGTAATGAATGGGCACACTCTAGTTTGGCATGGTGTCTCCTTATGTATGCACATTCACGCATAACAAATACACGCACACGTGCATCCACATCCATGCGCATCCCCTCCCTCCCCCCCTCGCCCTCCACACACACACACACATGTACACACACACACACATACACACACAAAAACGTGCGCACGCATGCACACACACAAACACATTGGACCTTGGACGCATTGTCATGTTCAGACAGGATAAGTCCTGTTGTCTACTGAAAAGCCAGCCACAATTGTAATTATTGTTGAAGGAGCCGCAGTCTGTGTGTGTGCTCGGGTCGAACCATGGCTACATTTGTGACGCTTCATGCCTTCGTGTGTTAGCACATAGCGGTGTAAACGGATATTTCTTGCTTGTCACACGATGCTAGCATTGCTGCTAGATTTCAATACTGGAGTAAAATACGATGTGTATCTCAAGGGTAACAGCATGCACTTTTGTATGTACAGGGTATGGCTGACACTGCTATGGCAATATACATTGCAGTATAAACATTTGTAGAGTAGAGTTTTCCAGGTTTAACTGACATAGCGGTAACTATTCTGTACAGTGACTAGTGTAAAAACAGTAGGTGAGAGTAGACATGAAATGATCCCTGTCCAGTGCTGGTCAAGTTCACCAATCTCAACTGCTAAACACTATCCAGTAGAGATCCTCAGAAGCTCACCTCGCCCTGGAAAATGTACAACAGAGAGGGTGCATACACACGTACACATGCATGCATGCAGACATGCACACACACATGCACACACGCACGCACGCACGCACGCACGCACACACCCACAAACACACACACACATTGACAACTCTCAAAACATGTCGAGTCCTTTCAGAGAGGCAATATTATTAATAGGACATTTCAGTTCTTACAACAAACTGAATGGGTAGGTGGCAATGGGTACAAGCAATGTGGCTCTTCCGACTTAACGTCCCACAACAAACACATGCACACCTGACAGAACGCATGCACTAACACATGCCTAAAATGGTTATGTCAGTCTCCCCGTGAGAGGAGAGAGAAATTCAAAAGGAATCGTGGAAATATGACTCAATTGGCCTCTTGGCCTTGTTGGTCGTTCGTTCGCCCCCACTGGGCAGTATGCTTTATCCCTTGGAAGGTAGGTTCTCAGCCTCGGTGGCTGTTTGCTGGCTCAATAGACAGTACGACTCAGCCCTCAGTCGGTAGTATATGATCATCAGTGACCCACGGTGGGCAGTATGCTCTAGCCCTCGGTGGACAGTATGCTCTAGCCCTCGGTGGGCACTACGCTTTACCCCTTGCCGGAAGTTTGCTTTAACCCTGGGCTGGGGGGGGGGGAGGGAGGTCGGCAGGTTATTGACCTCAACGGCCGTTTGTGCACCTCGTAGGGGCTGTGTGCTTATTCGTGCGCCCTTGGTTGGGCTGTAGGCTTCAGCCTTCGGTAGGCAGGTCTCTGGTTTGGGCGGCCATTCGTGCACCCTCGGTTGGGCTGTTTGCGTTAGCCTTCGGTAGGCAGGTTGCTGGTCTCAGCGGCCATTCGTGCGCCCTCGGTTGGGTCGTATGCTTTTAAAACACTCGATGGGTAAGTTGTTAGCCTCGGCAGCCATTCATGCACCCTCGGCGAGCAGGTTGCTGGCCGCGTCGGCCAATTGGCGGGCAGTATGCTAGCGACCCACGGTGGGCAGGATCATTTAGCCCTCAGTGGGCTGGCTGTTGGCCTCGGTGGCCGCTCATGTCATCGGCCCACGGTCGGCCATTTGTGCGCCCGCCCCCAGTGGGCAGTGTGAGTTGCTGACGATCAGATGTGATGATTTGGCACAGCTATTGTCTCTTGCTACTTTGGAACCGGTCAATCATGACATATCATAGCTGCGGCTTACGGGGTTCCTCGGCATTCGTGCCAGTAGTTGTGAGACGTATCCCCTCACCCCCAATGCCAGGCGCTGCATCTGCCGCTAGGGTTTCCTGGGTGTGACGCCCGTCGTGAGTTCCCTTTTGGAACGGACACGATAATTTACTTTCTTTATCATCACATACTATTATATAAATTACTGAAAGCATTGAGCATGTTCTTTTAACATCCTTTTTCTAAAAGAAGTCAGGCCACCCCCAACCCAATGTGTCAATTGCTTGTGAATGTGTGTATGTGTGCATGAGTACGTCGTACGTGCAGGCGGGTGCATGGGAGCGTTGGCAATTATGTTTGAGAAAGAGAAAAAGAGAGAGAGAGAGAGAGAGAGAGAGAGAGAGAGAGAGAGAGAGAGAGAGAGAGAGAGACAGACAGAGACAGATAGAGATAGAGAGAGACAGAGAGATAGAGATAGAGAGAGAGAGAGAGAAAGAGAGAGAGAGTGAGAAAGAAAGAGAGAGAGAGAGAGACAGAGAGAGACAGAGAGAGAGAGATAGATAAAGAGAGAGAGAGATAGATAGATATATATATATATATATATATATATATATATATAGAGAGAGAGAGAGAGAGAGAGAGAGAGAGAGAGAGGAGAGAGAGAGAGAGAGAGAGAGAGAGAGAGAGAGAGAGAGAGAGAGAGAGACAGACAGACAGACAGAGACAGATAGAGATAGAGAGAGACAGAGAGATAGAGATAGAGAGAGAGAGAGAGAAAGAGAGAGAGAGTGAGAAAGAGAGAGAGAGAGAGAGAGAGAGAGAGAGAGAGAGAGAGATAGAGAGACAGACAGACAGACAGACAGACAGACAGACAGACAGACAGACAGACAGACAGACAGACAGACAGAGAGAGAGAGAGAGAGAGAGAGAGAGAGAGAGAGAGAGAGAGAGAGAGAGAGAGAGAGAGAGAGAGAGAGAGAGAGAGAGAGAGAGAGAGAGAGAGAGAGAGAGAGAGAGAGAGAGAGAGAGAGAGAGAGAGAGAGAGAGAGAGAGGGAGAGAGAGAGAGAGAGAGAGAGAGAGAGAGAGAGAGAGAGACAGACAGACAGAGAGTGAAAAAGAAAGAGACAGGGACAGAGACCGAGACAAAAACAGAGAGATAAAGAGACAGAGACAGAGACTGTTGGAACATAACATTTATTTCACATTTCCAAAATCAAAAACCTAGTACAAGTACCACCCTGTAAGTTCACCCCTGTCACAGCACACAGCAGTGGTTCTGTTGTACTGGTAAATTACTGACATACGAGTACAGTACACAGCAGTGGTTCTGTTGTACTGTTAAATTACTGACATACGAGTACAGTACACAGCAGTGGTTCTGTTGTACTGTTAAATTACTGACATACGAGTACAGTACACAGCAGTGGTTCTGTTGTACTGGTAAATTACTGACATACGAGTACAACACACAGCAGTGGTTCTGTTGTACTGTTAAATCACTGACATACGAGTACAGCACACAGCAGTGGTTCTGGTGTACTGTTAAATTACTGACATACGAGTACAGCACACAGCAGTGGTTTGTTGTACTGTTAAATTACTGACATACGAGTACAGCACACAGCAGTGGTTCTGTTGTACTGTTAAATTACTGACATACGAGTACAGCACACAGCGGTGGTTCTGTTGTACTGTTAAATTACTGACATACGAGTACAGCACACAGCGGTGGTTCTGTTGTACTGTTAAATTACTGACACACGAGTACAGCACACAGCAGTGGTTCTGTTGTACTGTTAAATTACTGACATACGAGTACAGCACACAGCAGTGGTTCTGTTGTACTGTTAAATTACTGACATACGAGTACAGCACACAGCAGTGGTTCTGTTGTGCTGGTAAATTACTGACATACGAGTACAGCACACAGCAGTGGTTCTGTTGTGCTGGTAAATTACTGACATACGTGTACAGCACACAGCACACGGCACACGTGCACACGCTCTTGCATGATGCCATCACTCTCACTTACTGTAGTATGCGATTTCTGAGTGCTGCCAGCATAGCACAGTGTTGGTTGTGTTCACTTAGGTGTTCACCAGTTTGACGATGTTTACCACACAGGTAAGCCATGCCACAACGAGGACATGCTGTGATGTTGTCCAGGTCATAGCAGACAAAACATGCTGCTACACGTGGATACCATTCCAGTAGTGCAATGTGGTGATCAATGGTCACTTGGCCTCTCTTGGATTGACGATGCAGGGCAGCAATGAGCGAGTAGTATAGTGGAGTATCGTCTCCAGCTTGTGGTGGTACTGAGTACACAATTCCAGACACTAAGAGACCAGTTGCACAATTTCTTGGCAGGTAAGCACTGAGATCATTAACCAAAGACTTCAACGCTGGGAAGAGTTTGGACATTTCTGCAAGTGCAAAGATCGTATTCT